ACAAATCATATTATTACTAAAAATATTAAATTAAAAATTATATTTAACTATCTAAAACTTGCATTTATTACTAAGTTAAAGAAAAAAACATTAAACTTAAAATCCCAAATTAAAAAAATATTGCATTTAGAAATTAGAACACAAAATAAAAACTAAAAAGAATTGCATATATAATAAACTTTAACATAAAGCACATCTGGGTTTAACATTTAGTTATCAAATTTGTAACTTTTTAATTTTAATGAGAAATTCATGTATTCAATACTTATTATTATTACTTGATTACAATTTGTTATAACAATAATAAATTGATTACAGTTTATCATAAATGTTAATTAAAATAATAATCAAGTTAAAATAAATATAAATAAAGCTAAATCATCAAAAATAAAAGGATATAAAAAGGATGTAATAGAAATTAAAATTTATTATGATGTAAAATGAAGGAGTAATGAAAACTGTAAAAATTATGCGATCGCACTACAATGGTCGATATGAGAAACTTGACTGCAAGTCGTGAGATAATTTTGGAAAATGCAACTCATTTGATGTGTACGTTTCACACACCCACTTAGAAATTTAGCCCTTCTAAGCTTTTTCATCTAGCTGTTTATCAGTTTATGTGGATCGCCATTGTTATACTAAACAGATGTAATGGACCGTTCGATTTTCATTAAATATTGTGAAATTGTTCTGCTTGGGTAGATTCTTACATATAATTTGAATTGTGTTTGCAGAGTGGAGCAGGTTCGACATTGCAGAAGATTTCTGGGAGCTTTGTTTTTGGAATTGCTTCGCTCTACTTCCTCTTGTAGATCTTTTTTTCTCTTCATATTTACTTCTGAATCCTGCCTATGTCTTATTATTATGGACTTTTTTACTTGCGCTCGATGGTGCATTGATTTGGATTCTTTTGTTGGGACTTTTGTACTGAGAGGAGTTATTATTAGCTGGCTCAGTTTTACCTAACCTGGGAGTTGTGACCCGATGTTCTTTTCTTCTCGTTATGTGCCTATTTGACTCAATGATACAATAGTAACAAAAATTAAATGTGCAATAAAACTAAAATTGAACTTATATGCCTTTAATGTATTTTATCGTACTAGTATCGAGATGTCCTGTGATTAAAAAAAAAAAAAGAAAAAAGATTTGAATATGATCTCTAACATTTTATTATACTTGAACAATTCATTCGCTATGAGATGTTGATGGAAACCCTTCGAAATATATCACGAATCATCTATGGACCCTTGTATATCTAAGTGAAGTTTGCTGCTTAACTGAGTACCTATAAGTTTAAAATGAGGTATTTTTTCGATGTGCTTAGGATATTTGATCGATCAAGTGAGAATGCTAACTTGTTAATAGGGGGTTTCTAAGCACATATTACGATAGTTTGGGATCACTTGAAATACTTAACCAACTTAAATTGTTTGAGGAAAGCTGTAGCAAAGGTTTAGAACTTTTCAAAAATGTTCATTCGAGTCTCGAACCTTCTAATCTTTGTATATTAATATACATTTCGAACTTTTTAGTAAATCTACACCAAAAGAACCTCTAAAGATTTCATCTAAATATCTATCAGTTGACCAAAAGTCAAATGTCTAATCGCAAGTTGAAAATTTTAATGTGAGATAAAGTGCTCGTTTAACATTTAATTAATTAAAATAATTAAAAAGATAAAAAAAGTAAAAGCAATGCAAAATCTAAGAAGAGAAATAAAAAGAAGATTCATCTTCCTCATTCCATGAGTTAATTATTTCAATAGTCACTAAATTTATGTCCATATCTTTTTAAGAAGAGAAATAAAAAGAAGATTCATCTTCCTCATTCCATGAGTTAATTATTTCAATAGTCACTAAATTTATGTCCATATCTTTTTAAGAAGAGAAATAAAAAGAAGATTCATCTTCCTCATTCCATGAGTTAATTATTTCAATAGTCACTAAATTTATGTCCATATCTTTAATTGGTCACTGAAATTTAATATGTCGAATTTTGGTTACTGAACTTAGATTCATGTTTCTGATTACTCATTGAAGTTTAAAATCTCGAGTTTTGGCCACTGAACTTTGAAAATTGTTGTACATTAATCACTGTAAACTCTACAATTTCTAAAGTTCAACATTTATACTAGTGAATAACGTAGAGTTAATTTCATAAATAGTCACTAAACTTTGACAAAACTTCCCAAGAGGTCATCGAATTCCAAAACTTCCCTAAATAGTAACAGAACTTTGCAAAAAGTTTTCACGAAATCTTTAAATTTCAAAACTTTCATAAATAATCATTGAACTTTGCAATAAGTTTCTTGAAGGTCACTAAATCAGTGATGTATAGGGTCTCAATTTGCAAAGTTGAGTAACATTCTAGGAGCGTTTTGCAAAGTTAGTTGACTATTTAGGGAAGTTTTAAAATTTAGTGACCTTTTAAGAACTTTTTGCAAAGTTCAGTGACTATTTAGGGAAGTTTTGATATTCGTGATCTCTCTTGGGAACTTTTTGGCAAATTTCAGTGACTATTTGGGGAATTAACCCGAATAACATAAAACATTTTTCAAAATTTAATGTTTAAAATTTAATATTTTAAATTTCAGTGAGCAATAAAAAACAAGACCTAAGTTTAGTGATCGAAACTCGACATTTTAAACTTCAGTGATCAATTAAAAACTTGAACCTAAGTTCAGTGATCATTGGAACAATTAATTCTCATTATACCCAACCCCAACTCCCCACTGAAATTGCCACCAGTTAGGAGATTTCTTTGTGATGTTCGTTGCCTCAATTGCCATAGGCCATCGCCACAAAAAACACAATCCAGCCACCACCACCACTCCTCTCATGAGAAACACCATTATCAGATCTACATTCATCAATCTCAATCCCTATTCTGTGGACACCACCATTCTCAAATCCCAACATAGCTACATCACTTGCACATCTTCCACTGTCGACCTTCACCGTCTATACCCTAAAACCTCATGATCGACCCATTACAAACCTGTAATGGTGCCACCACCATTATCCTCCTTAAAAACCCCATCCCAAAATCACATAAACTAAAAAAGACATTCATTTAAGATAATTCACTTTATCCTTCTAAATTCAACAATTTTTTTTTCTCCAATCCTCTAAATCTAGTGTGATCATTTTTAATCTAATCGAGATTTGAAGTTGTAAGATTCTCAATTCAGTCAATAGTGGTAAAACTGCATTTTTCAGGTAAAACCAGAGGTCCAAGTTTCCGATGAAAACAACACAGGTGGCCGATCTAGTTTGTCAACTTGAAGCATCCCCGTCAAATGAGAGATAACCAAACTTGAGATAAAAAACTTAGAGTGCATTTGATTTGTCATTTTGAAACCATTTTTAGTTTTCAAAAATACAGTATTAAAAACAAGAAAAATTTATAACACAAAACTCAAAGAAACTTTTTGATGTTTTGAGTGTTTTCAATGTAAACAATCAAAAAATTCAAAACAAGGAAAATTAGCTTAAAAATTTTTCAAATTAAAATAATTAGTAAAATAACACAAAACTCACCCAAATACAAATATCCCTCTCCCTCTCTTTCCATGCTCCTCCAAAATATCATAAAACTATTTAATTTTTTTTTAAATCAAACGCGTTTTCTAATTTTTTGTTTTAAGAAACAATTTTTCAAAATGATAAACCAAACACCTTTTTAGTAATCTTAAAATAATCCCTCAAAACTGAAAACAGAAAATGAATTCAAAATTGAAAACAGAAAACAGAAATGCAAACCAAACGTACCCCTAGATTTTGCATATAAAGAACTTCGAATTCTAATTTTGCACAAAAACTTTAAACAAGAGATAATCAGATTTATGCACTATTCTTAATAGTGTAAAGGATGGTTAGACGGGGAGGTCAACTTTTAAGCTTTACGATCCCAATCGAGGCCTAGGTGTAAAAAAAATTATTTAATTATTATTATTATTTTAAATATTTAATCATTCTAAATATCATTTAATTATTAAAATAATACATACTGAACATATAAAATTATAAAATACTATATTTACTTAATAATTTTCAAGTTTTCAAAATGCAAAAGCTAGACATTTTTTTTTAATAATTTCAAATTTTAACGAGACAAATCCTACTTAATAGATTTATAGGAACATCATACATATTTTCAACAAAACGATAAGTTTCAAAATCATAATTACATAATATAGATAATACTGTAACTTAAATCTCATCTATATCTTTATTGGATAGAGTCTTTTTTAAAACTTAAAACTCAAGTGATATAAAAGCCTTTTTAAAAGAAGAGAGAAAAAAAAAAAAAAAACTCAAGTCAAGTAAAATGTTTTTTAAAAAAGGAAAAAAATTAATACTTCGACAGGGTTGTCTCATATTAAGCGATCAACTGCGCTTAATTCGTGCTTATTGTCAAGGTAAAGTATTTTATGTGTGCGCCGTTTAGAATACTGAATTTATGCAATAATTCAAGAAGATTTCTACCCATGATGTTCTACCAAAGCCTGAGGGAGAAATCCCCAGTTGGTAGCCGTCCAAGCTTGTAAGGGTGTATGCAGATTGCATCAATGATGGTGTTTGCTCCCATGAAATCCCCTCGATTTTGGGAGGTTGCCTTTTTCGTGGGTTTAGGATTGGATGGGATGGGATGGGATGGGGAAGATGAATGCATTTTATTTTTTATTTCTCTTCTTCATTTTGGTTAATTAAATATCAAAAGACCATTTTATCTTGCATTAAAATGGTCAAATTAAGGTCGAACGTTCGACTTTGATCAATGATAAATTTTTGGATGGAAACTATTGGAAAAGTTTTTGGCAAGCATTTATTAAAAAAATTGGATGCAGACACTAAAATCAGAGATTTGAAACCTGACGGCTACACATTTTTCAAAGATTTGGAACCCTGGTGCAAATTTCTCAGTATTTAATTATGGGCAAATGCACTACTTCATTTTTCGTTCTGTAATTTTTGTGGTGAAAAGTAATTGTGTCAAATAATGACAAAAGGTAAATAATAAAAATTAAAAGTTGGATAAAATGTACAATTATCGTATGTGTACATCCGAATTGACACTCCAGACGATACTCTACACACATGGGGTGGGGCGATGATTATTTCATTAGATGGGAGCCCCATATCTATGTGTGTAGAGTCTTATTTGAGGTGTCAACCTAAATATACATACAACATTATTGTAAAATTTATGTGGTTAAAAATAAAATTTGATAAAATCAAATTTTTTAAAGTCTGGGACTTCGTGTTGGTTCATAATTCGGCCGAACACTTGAGCCATTTGTACATAAATTTTTTCACAGAATTTGGCCAGATTATTTTCATGTGTGGGGTCCATCGTGAATAAAAAATTGCCAAAAAATCGCCCAACCACCCTCGACATGTGTGTATTCTGGTATACTTCTGTATGAAGCCAGCCTGTATACACAGGTTTGTTGGCTGAAAGGCCCCTCCTGCGTTATCTGGAAATTTGCAAATATTTTATATGGAAACCGCCTTAAGAGTAATTTGGGACACTTGTGCACAAAATTAAAATCTTGACCTTTAAAAAACATTTTGATACTTGAAGCACCAATCAATAAGCACAATCCTACGACTGTCAGAAAGTCGAAAAGAAACAAATTCCTTTTCATCCATCGAAAATCTATAAACCCTAATTCAGAATTTAGCCCCGATCACTTCTAACTTTATCTTCAGAATTCAACTGAGCTCATCCATCTGTTTTTCGTCTCCTCCCATACTAACACTAGTTGATAGCGAAGCGAAATCAGGGTATAACACTTTCCGTTCTGTTCGATACAAATTTGGATTTTAAATTTCTATCTGATCTTTCTTCTACCACCTTATTTACTCCCAATCAATCAGGTAAATATACCAGATGCCTCGATTATTATATTATTATTTTTTTTTTTTTTATCAAGTTTTTGATTTGGATTCTTTAAAGTTATTATTAAAGATGATTACAAAGTTTGAACTATCAATTTTCCTATTTTGCGGAAATCTAGACTGTCATCCTCTAATCATATTCAATAATTACTTTGTTTCAATCTCAAGCTCAACAAAGGTATCCAATTATCAGATGCAATTTTATTTTTTTTTATTTTTTATTTTTTAAGACGGACTGCGATTTTAGTTAAATTGTTTTTCAGATTTATCCAATTTTCAAAAAGTTATATACGAATGTGGAAACAAAATTTGTTTGTTTAATATTATTGTTCATTAACCAGAGGAAATGGGAATATAAAATAAGATGTTGTTGGCTGAATGCTTGTTCTTTTTAGAGTGTTGTTGCTTGTAGTTTGTAATTGAATGTGTTACTAAACGCATCTAAGGTCACGAATTTTCTACTATAGGGTATCGGTCTAGTTCCCACGCCTTACTCCCAATGCTATTTTCTCTCTCTGGTTAGCTCAATACCTTTATGAGTTGTGATTTTACTTTTTGTAAAGCTTTTTGAGTTTAAGTTCTTACCAACTTATTTGAAACTACTTCTCAATATCTACTTTTTTGCTCTCTTTTTGAGAGAGCTTTTCTAGAATCTCACCTTGCTAGTGCAAGATTTACATATTGATACTTGGAGTGAATCTTTTGGAAATACTCGTTTTGTCTGTATTTCTCATTATCATTAGATGTTGGTAATCATGTTATTGTATCTCGAATTTGACATTTTGCATATATTTTACAGGTCAATCTCATATCTTTTATTAATTCCTTGGTTACATGATATTATTGACTGTTGGTAAGAACCTTTTTGTTCAAAATTTTATTTATCTGTTCTTCAAAATTCAGGATAATCCTATTTTTCCCCTTTTTTCCTTCCCCGCAATCAGGATACATTAGCGTAGCTTCTTCTTCCTTATTTACTGCAGATATATGATTGCTGATTTTTTTTACCAAGGCCTTTTTTTTGTAAATTTTTTTGGTGATTTTGCTGTCTCGATACGTTCTAATTGATTTCTCTCTGCTTCTTTCATATTTTTGGTGTCCGAGATATGAATTTTACATGTCATTGAATCTTGCAAATTAAGTGAAATTGAATAGCTGCTTTTTTAAACACTATACCTGTACCATTTTATTTTAAACTAGCAGCAGTCAGTTCTAAGAAGACCTTTCTGTGTACGTTGACCTCCATTTAATTGATATTTCTAAACACCATCTTCCTCTTCCATTCCGACCAGTGCTTCAGATCTAATTAGGTTTTCACCTCGACAGCAAAATTTCCAGACCCCAAAGTACTGCCACCTGCCATATTTTAAGTGCCTGGCCGAGCAGTATAACATTATCTATCAAGATTTGAAGGAAATATGACAAAATTTATGTAAAAGTTTTTAACCCTGATAAAGTATTCCTGAAACTTCACTTTATATATTAGACAAGAACTGTATCTCTGCACAGCATTCGTGTTACAAATATATAAAAATTATTTGATGCTGCAGATTGAATAGGTCTATTAATATGTTTAAATATCTTTTGATAAAATTGACAACTGCAGAGTCATGAACAAGATTATCCAATCTCCTTGTAGAGATACCATACTTCTTCCTCAGCAGACAGGGCGTCTTGTGGGTTTCTTATAGGGTGTTTCCGGAGCTCACAGTTGGGGTGAGGGCCCAGAACACGGGTGGGGATTGGGGAAAGAGGTACTACCATTTCTGTAGAGAAGAAGCTAAGGGCACAGAAGTAGTAGAAGACCTTGTCTTAGAAGGGATTAAATTGACTTTTTGACCATGCTGTTGATAAACAGTCTAAAGGAAGGCTTATTTCAGTGACTATGAGAAAAGGGCACTTTAAGAAAATGTCTGTGCTATTGCATTACACTTAAAGAAATCTGCAGCAATTATTATGTTCTCATTCTAGAAAATATACAGCTGGAGTTATTATTTTCTTATTCATGTTTTAATTTTTGCAGATTAAGCGTGAGGAGAGGGTGATGGCGGCATTAAAGGACCTTCTTCCACCTGTAAAGTCATCAGGGACCACACATTATGACCACTCTAATGATCCTTGGTTCAAACAGAGGTACAGCTCATCTGAGGCTGAAATATCCGAGATGGTCAAGCCCAAGCCGGTGCCACCATACTTGAAACGGGCTGGATTTAAACCTTCGAAGCCTGAGGACTTTGGCGATGGAGGAGCATTTCCAGAAATCCACTATGCACAGTACCCACTTGGTATGGGAAGGAGTAAGTCTCAGAATGCCGGTTCAAAGACTTTGCCTGTTACAGTGGATGAGCATGGGAATGTGAGATATGATGCGATCGTGATGCAAAATGAGAATGCAAAGAAGATTGTACATTCACAGCATAGGGATTTGGTCCCGAAGGTCTTGAAAGATGATGAGAAAGAGGAGGAGATAGATGATGATGAGATGCAGAAAGTGATCGATGAGACGACGCTGGAGACTAAGGCTGCACTTGAGAAGATTGTGAATGTGAGGTTGAGTGCTGCGCAACCAAAAAATGTTCCCACACAGTCTTCGGATTCTAAGTTTATTAAGTACAAGCCATCACAACAGTCAGCAGCCTTTAATTCAGGAGCCAAGGAAAGAATTATCCGAATGGTTGATATGCCAGTTGACCCCTTGGATCCACCCAAATTCAAACATAAGAGGGTCCCAAAGGCATCTGGTTCTCCCCCAGTGCCTGTTATGCATTCTCCACCTCGTCCCGTGACTGTGAAGGATCAGCAGGACTGGAAGATTCCACCATGTATTTCCAACTGGAAGAACCCTAAGGGTTATACAATACCGCTTGACAAACGTCTGGCTGCTGATGGTCGGGGGCTTCAGGATGTTCAGATTAATGATAATTTTGCTAAATTGTCAGAGGCTTTATATGTTGCAGAACAGAAGGCAAGAGAGGCTGTTGCAATGCGATCAAAGGTTCAGAAGGAGATGATGATGAAAGAAAAGGAGAAGAAAGAGATGGAGCTGCGGGAGTTGGCCAGGAAGGCGAGATCTGAGAGAACTGGTGTTGCTCCTGCTGCTGCAGCACAAATGCCTTCTGAGAGGGGTGCAATCAACAGTGATGACATGAGTGTTGATTATGAGCGTGTGAGAGATGCCCCCAAGGAGTCAAAGGAGGAAAGAGAGGAGAGGTTGCAGAGGGAGAAAATTCGTGAGGAGAGGCGTCGCGAGAGGGAGAGGGAGAGAAGACTGGAGGCAAAAGATGCTGCAATGGGGAAGAAGAGCAAAATTACGAGGGATAGAGATCGTGATATCAGTGAGAAAGTTGCTCTTGGAATGGCCTCGGCTGGAGCTGGAAGAGGGGGTGAAGTTATGTATGACCAGAGATTGTTTAACCAGGAGAAAGGGATGGACTCTGGTTTTGCTACTGATGATGCTTACAACGTATACGATAAGGGCCTATTTACTGCTCAATCTACTATGAATACTCTGTACAGACCGAAGAAGGATGCAGATGACGAGATGTATGGAGGTGCGGAGGAACAGCTGGACAAGTTAATGAAAACTGATCGTTTTAAGCCTGACAAGGCATTTACAGGAACATCTGAAAGAACTGGTCAAAGAGATAGACCAGTTGAGTTTGAAAAAGAGGCTGAAGAAGCTGATCCATTTGGTTTGGATCAGTTTTTAACGGAGGTAAAGAAAGGGAAGAAGGCCATGGATAAAGTTGGTACTGGAGGAACCTTGAAGGCTGGTGCAGGCTCTATGCGTGATGGTTTTGAAATATCTGGTAGATCACGCATTAATTTTGAAAAGGGCCGATAAATGTGATTGAGAAGTGGCAGAAAAAGGTCCTTTGGTCGTTCTCCCCGTGTTATTTAGTTCCTTTTTATGCCTACTATTTCCACTATATGAAGTTAATGTTAGATTGGATTTTATTCTCATATTAGCTTGCTCTTATAATTCTGTAATCTTTGAATATGATTGCCTACTTTGGTTCATGTTCACTTCGTTGAGAAGATGGTGGACAAGACCGTCATCCTGCTTTTCTGTTCCTCGCGTTTTGATCTGTATTAGATATATCTCCCTTATTAGCATTGCTTTAATTACTGCTCAAATTTTGGTTAAGCTTGTGTATCAATTTCGTGTATATTTTTGAGGATTCATTCAGCTGCGCGTTGGTTGGTTGGTGGTGTTGAGTAATTACCTTGGAAGGAAAATCTGGTGCTCTCTGTTGCAGTTTGACCATTGGTGTTGAGTAGTTACCTCAAGAGGAAAATTTGGTTCCCTGGTTTACGAGTCAAATGACCATCTTCTTAATATATATCATGGACATTCATCCTTTTAGAGAACAGAATGCTCATTCGCTCAAGGATGTTCCAAACTAGAACCGCCTGGTGTGGTCGGAGTCAGGTTTTGTTTTTGGCTTTAAACAAAGTACATTGGTTCTCGGTTATTAGAAGAGTAAGTCATTCGTGTTAGGGTTTAACGATTTTTGTACTTGGCCAAATTTGTACGACGAGAGTGAGAATAAAAGTGTATTACATGAGCTCCGGTACCATCTTGCAGTATGTGATCTTTCTCTATTATGAATGCTATGTGAAAAATTTAATCTTGAAAAGTAGGATATCCTTATTTATTTACGTTTAGTTGTGCTTTGCTTGAAAGTTTTATTGTAGTTGTAGAATAGCCGCAACATGGTCTTCTTGTCAGTATTCCACCCTCATGGCAAATATCACATGGTATTATTCTTGGGAAAACTTGTGCCATTCACTGCCGGTAATGATATCTCAAATTCGTTTTCTTGTGATAAAAACGAAAGTATAACAATCCTTAACACAGAATGTGATAATTTTAGTAGTTTACAAGTAGGTTAATCCTCTGGCATTGAATGACCATGACAAAATACATTTTAACACTAGGCAATCTCACATCGTCATTGCCCTGGGCGGTTAACTTAGTGAATGTTGATTGTATGCAGATAAATGTTCAAGATAGAAGAAAAGATTTAAGCCAGGGGAGCTTGACTACAAAAACTATTTTGTTTCTTTGTAGATTGAACTTGCTCTAATCTTATTTACGCACTGTAAATTTTCACTTCTCTAAAATATTCCATAGTCTCATTATTAAATTATGTCGTTAAGGCCAAAATTTATTAAAAAGAAAATAAACACAGTTTAATATTTACAGAAAATAGAGATTATAAATAAAAAAAAATATTAATGGAAATTACACAAAACCATACTTTAAATATTCAAAATTCCTAAATCAGGTTAGAAGTTTGATATTTCAAAATTCAGATTTTTTTAATTAATTATTTAAATAAACTAATTACCAAAAAATAAAACCCTACCCACTACCCAGATGTCACTACCCATCTCTTCCCTCTTCCTTGCTCGTCTCTCTCTATCCCTCACTTTCTCTTCTCCAGCGATGATGCAGCCATCGTTGCAGTCGATGCTACCGCTGTGAAGACGCGTCACACCAACATTGCCCGTCGCCGACTGCTACAGCAGGAAGCTGCGTTGTTGCCTTTCTCTTCCTCGATCAACCATCCTCGTAGTTTTTGCTTTCTAAGGACACAACCCTGGTGTGTTCCAACGAGACATTCACAATCAAAATAAGGAACCACTGCACGAGCGAAAAACAATATACCAATAGCTACGCACACCGGGATCGCGATCTTCGTCCCTAGATCTGAAAGCAGCGTCAACCCCATTCTTTCCGAAACCCTCACCAAAAATTAGTTAAATAGATATTTAGAACGCCATATCTGAGGGTTTGTTGGTGGCAGTGGCAATGATTTTGTTGGTGGTTGGGCGACTGGTTTGTTGGTATTTAGGTGATGGTGGTGCACAGCCACTGGTTTTGGTTCTGAAATTGGGTATGTTGCTCGTTATTGCCATGGCAGTGATAATGTTGGAGTTGATTTTTTGGTGGTGTTTTGGTGCAGTAGTTGTGGTGGTTTTTGGTTGTTAAGAGTGTGCTGGTGGGTAGCTCCCATGTTTTGAAGGTGGGGGTAGACAGCGATGGTCATGGTAGTGGTTGCGGTGGTGATGGTGAGATGTTGGTGGCTGTGGTCTGTTGAGGTGTATGTGTTGATTTTGTTTGAGACAGTAGTGTTGCTGTAAGGTGATGGTCTTGGCAGTGACAATGTTTTTGGCATTGGTGATGTTGGAAGCAGTGGTTGTTTGGTGGTGATCGCAAATTATTTGGTTGATTGTGATCATTAAATTGATTAATCTGTGATCAATAAACAATATGTGACTAATAAGAATGATAAATTGTGACCAGAAAATAATGTGTGACCCGAAAAATTAATAATTTGTGACATATAATATTTGTGATTTGTGACATACAAATTTTTAAAATGTGGCCAAAGAACAAATTGTGACTTATGAAAGTTTTATATTATGACAGCAAAATAATTTGTGATCTTAAAAAATTTTGATTTATGATCGAAAAATAATGTGACTAATTAAATTGTGAATCTGTGATCAAATTGTATAGGTCTATAACTTTAATATAGTTAATTAATAAAATATATAATTAATTGATTAAAGTATAAATAAATTTTAATGAATGTCTAATTTTTGAAATTTGAAACTTGTATTCTTACGTTTGAAATGGATAATAGTTTTATCTTCTTAGTTATGAAAAATTTTCTCAAAATATTATTTCTTGTCCCACTAGATGGGCTTCGATCCACAACGAGAGCCCAGTTACTGACGGACCAGGCTTAACACAAAGCCCGCTATTCCTTTAAAACAAAACCACCTAAAATGAAATGAAGAGAAAATCTCTCATTTTTCAAATTCCAAATTTTCTCAAAATCGCTGCATAAAAATTCGATACGTTCCCAGCAATTTACCATGGATAATTCGAAAGTTCAAGAGGTAACGTATAAAAAAAAAAAAAAAATCTTGATGAATGAGTAAATTATGTTGATTTACGTATATAGAAAATTTGGTCCATTTGTAGTTAATAATTGTAAAAATGCAGATATTGGAGAAGCAATTATTGACTGTGGCGAAGGCTGTGGAAGACAAGATAGATGATGAGATCTCGGCTATAGATCGGCTAGATTCTGATGATTTGGAGGAGTTGAGGGAGCGGCGATTGCAACAGATGAAGAAAATGGCGGAGAAACGTAGAAGCTGGATCGCCCTTGGCCACGGCGATTACTCTGAGATCCCCAACGAAAAAGAATTTTTCTCTGTTGTCAAAGCCAGTGAACGCGTTGTGTGCCATTTTTACCGGGAAAATTGGCCTTGCAAGGTGCATATACATTGGCGTAATACATTAATTTATTTACAAGTCTGAGTACGTTAGCTTTTGTAGATTCGCATCTGTGATAATTAGTGAAAATATCTAATTTTTAGCTTATAAACTATTTAATAAGTGATATTAGCTGATTGTTAGATTTTAGTGCAAAATGGATTCTTAATCTGGTGGAGTTTGTATAGAAACTGTTTTATTTTAGTTTACGCATAGTACTTGAGATTAGACTGTAATTAAGATCTTTATAATTGAATGATGTTTTCTGTAGGATTAGAAAGGATTAGAACACCACCATAGCAGGGTCTGTTGAAAAAAATTATTCAATCGGGATTCAAGACTGTTTTTGTTTTGACTTAGTCATGTTTAGATTCTAAGATGCTTGATTCCTTGTGAAGATCACAAGAGCATTTGTGGCTAATATCAAGCGTGAGAGGTAAAAAGTGCAAAGCATTGATCTGGAAGTCTAGAAGTAGAATTGAAGGCTCTCTAGTTTAGTTTCTTGGATAATTAATGGAGGATGGAATTAAAGTTATCCAATAACTACGTTTTCCATTTTTACTTGGCACGAGACGTAATGATTCATGTTGCAACGCCCTTGTGAATTTCATTTTGATATATGTTCGGCTTAATTGTTTGTGAGGTGGCCTTTTCTTTTCCCTCCAGTATTTACTGATGCAAAGTCACTGTATTTGAAGGGGTCCTACCTCTTTGTGCAACTACTTCGATCCCCTTTCTTATTTGGTTTTCTGAATTAAGAAAGAGTTTATCTACTATCAGTTTGATGCTGGTTGATATAACTGTTGTGACAATAAACATGGGGGAAAAAAGTTCGATCCTTAGAACCAAGTATTATAATATAAACCGAATGTTTTGCAACATTAGACACACAAAGTTAACTGCTAAGTTAGAATATTGTTGTATTGCATTGCCTGTAAATTTACAGGTATTGAACTTCATCCTGACTTCTTGGCAGAGGTTAATTTTGAGAAATAAATAAATCAATGTAGCTCAATTGCAGGTCATGGACAAGCATCTGAGTATATTGGCAAAGCAGCACATTGAGACGCGCTTTGTGAAAATCAATGCTGAGAAGAGTCTTTACTTGGCCGAGAAGCTCAAAATTGTGGTTCTTCCTACCCTTGCCCTCATAAAAAATGCTAAAGTGGATGATTATGTGGTATGCAAATGATTTACCATTACTATTAATCTCTTGGGTTCACATTTGATCTTGTGAAGCTTTATCATAGCTGAAATGCAAATTAGGTTGGATTTGACGAGCTTGGTGGAACAGACGAGTTCAGCACTGAGGAACTTGAGGAGAGGTTAGCAAAATCCCAGGTTATCGTTTATGAGGGTGAATCATCGCTCAATGCATCCAAATCTAAAGGCAAAACCAAGAGCGTCCGTCAAAGCTTATACTCATCAGACTCTGAATAGACGTAGAGAGTGATCTGTTGTAATGTTACTTTTAGTCATGCTGTGGAAGCATTTGGCAGTATTTTCTATATCATATAGAATCTAGTGATCTACCTTGAATTTGAAGGGTAAAAACTTCCCCTGCATTGTTTCACCTGTCTTTTAGGGGTAATTTCATATCATTTTTATGTGTTTTTTCAAATAGAAAGATTGGATTGTTGAAGATAGAATTGTACTTTTAGTTTGTTCTAATTGGATTCATTTTCTCAAAATTCGACCTTTCTCCCACCCCATTGTGTACGCCTGGATGTACTGGGCAAAAATTGAAGAGAAAAAAGAGCTTTCGTCGTAAGTATGTGTTTTCTACCTCTTCTATTTAGGCGTTTTCAAAATGCCCAGGACAGTCCATACGTTTATTGCTCAAATCATTGACTAACACGCTCAACACAAATGTACAGCTATACAAAATGTAAGCAAAACACAGGTCTTGGAATTTGTTCACTTAAAATCACACAAGTTTCTTATTTCTACAGGTATGAACTAGCAAGTTTTGGTTCTACATATTATTCTACATGGAAAACAAATCATATTGTTACATGTACATATTAACATAGTTACTATTTTGGATAACAGACAAATATGTATATACACATGTAACTGAGTAAATTAAAGCTGTTGTTAACTAACTTATTCACTCTTCAGTACTACCATTCTCTTCCACACAAGGCAAGGACAGAAGTTCCATAAGCCCCAACCGATATTCTAGGCCTCTAAGGTAGTGTCCCAGCAACATGCACCTTCACCAAATAAAATGACAAATGTGAATCCCAGAACATAAAATCTACAGAAACCAATTTTATTATCCCAGCTTGAAGATCAGTGATGCAGTTTATAAGCCTGTTCCTTATGAAAACAATGAACGGGTAAAATCTAGCCAACGATTCTTACGTATAGAGAAATATTACAAGCCTGTTCCTTGTGAAAACAATGAACAGGTAAAATATGTCTAGGGGATTCTAATGTCCTTAATTCCACATGCATATGGTCTCTTAAACTGAAGGTGTTCAAAATTCGGAGCGAAAGAGAATCCACCACTATTAGATTTCATGATCCATGCTGTAAGACAATAGAATGGGGGATACCCAAACATTTCTACAAATTGAAGAAAAAAAATGAAAAAGAACAACACAATTGCCTCAAAGAAAAAATGAAAAATAAAGAAAAACAAAACATTTCATTTTATGACTTGAGAAAGTTAGTATAAAATGGATAAATAATTTATATTTCTAGACAAGCATACCCTTGACAAAGTAAGTAAACAGAGATATATGATCTAACCAAAACAGCAGGCGTGCCAGATAATCACGTGTCAAACAATTAAGGGGCTGGAATTGAAGGGAAGTGTTTTCAACAAGATCAATGCAGTCTTCTTCTGTTTCAATTATTATGGTTCCTATAGCTGGGTCGTCAGAGAGATCAGGTGCCTTTGAATGCATCTTAGGAGAAAGGGTAGCCAAGAGACCATGTACTACAGAATGTATCGCATCCTTCAACTCAGGAGATGTCGGTTCTGAAAGCTCCGCTACCTGTTCAATTGAAGTAGCAGTATCCATCACAAGAATGAAGAAAACAGAAGGATGGACAGTAAAAGCAGAGTTGATAGAAGTGGAACTGCCACTTAAAGCTAGTTGTCCTCCCTAATGAAAAATGACGAAATTGATGCATGCCTCGTGAGCCAGATGAAGTGCACAAACATCCCAAAAATTGTGAAGATTATACTATCAAAAGTAGAGTAGAAATTGTCCATAGCTAAAGTGTGCATCAAAGAAATGGAAGGATTACTACCCACTGAAGTTGCAGAAAAGTGATAGATATCCCCAGTTTAATATAACCTTTTTTCACCTCCCTTTTGCAAGATACTGCATCTAGTGCAATTAATCCCAGTCATACTAGGAGGTGATGACAACTTCATGAGCATTCCTTTGCAGATTTTTATGTTGGGAAGTTAAGAATAGCAGTTGGTTCTACACCAAAGATAAACTGGACAAATCCTAAACAAGTAAACATTAAGCAGTGTTGTGATATTCAAATTCCTATTCCAAAATGGGTTCTCATGAAAGAAAAAGGAAATTTCAGTCAGTAAAAATTATAGAAAACATCATATCTATTCAATTCGAGAGGTCTTGCAGACGCTGAAAATGAAATTTAGCAAAGAAAACACGTTTTCTGTAAAATGTTGATTGCTTAGCAAACCAAAATTATTGCAGCAACAATCGCATAGTTTATTGCAATATCATCCATAAAGATCAGTCTCCTTATATGATCACTAGCACTTCTACATATATGCATACCTTTTCTGGTTGCAAAGATCTTAAATAATCTAACAAGTCATTCTTTTCTTCCCCCACAAACTGTTGCATCTGTAGAGCTGCAGATTTCCTCTTAACTTCGTGGAGCTCCTTGATTAGGCAGGATTAATAAACAACAATAGAATGTCATATAACATTTGTCTAAATAGGAGAAATGAATAAGGATTAAAAATCAACATGCGAAAATAAAACCCTCTTTGAGTGGCACTGAGCGTACACATGCAAAACAATAAAAAGGAAAGGGACAATCAAAAGAGAACCCACTAGACAACCACTAATATAATAACATAACCAAGAAGAACTAATCAATCCACAAAAAATGTAAACCCAGTTAGATGGTAATCTACTCTCTAAATCATGGAAATTGTATTTACCATGATACTCCACACAACAATCAAACTTACGTGGAAAAATACCCATTACATCCAATTTATGGAATATTGCTATACAAAATGGCAGCTTCCATATTTCAGCCACAAATTGAATACTGGTAACTGATTTTAGTTCTCTTATTTTAAAGTAGATCAAGAGATAGTCTATTGGCCCCAGGCCCCATGTCCAAAGTCATACTATCTCATGGTAAAACAGTCATTTCGTTTGAACAAGTGATATTTGTTTACTCCCAAACCATATTTGAATATGAAATTACTGTTTTTAGATAACATGGTTAATTAACAAAAAGTTGACAATGCATAGCAAAGCCAAAGCTAACGTTGGAAAAAATTAATACGTTGGAGTTTAAGAAATCCATGATACCCATGAAGTACACACCTTTCTGACAGAAGATAAACGAGATTGCAATCTCAACATATATTCTCGAGCTTCAAGAGACATTTCCCCAAGATCTGGAATCTTTGATGTAATTTCACTGGTTGTCTCTGATAATGGCAAGTTGTCTTGTCTGAAAATTTTGCTCACTCCATCTTCATTGATCAACAAACCTTCACCTTCAAGTTTAGAATCTTCAGTATTTTGCTTATAAATATGTCCTTCATAGATTTCAAGATTTTTCTCAAGGCAAAGCCAATGTTCAGCATTCCGCAATGTATACCTGCAATAAAATAGGATACCATAAAGTAATCTATTATGCACTAGCGAAAATTCAAAACAGAGTTCACTAATGATTACAGAGTCATGCCCGAACAGCTCATGATATTGGACTAGATAGTGACCTTGGAAGCAAAGAAGAGACAAAATTGAATCATTAATTTTTTTCAGATGACTTGTACAAGTAATAATCAAAAAATAAAAGTTATATACACTAACATTTAGGTCGAATGAAGATGCCGCACACAAGAGAGAACGTTACATAAAGTAACTTAGTGGTAAAATATAGCAACTTTAGAGTTATAATAACAGTTATGCTAACAACTCTAGATAACAAATAAAACTTCTCTAATATAGAACGCTTGCACATGTATGAGATACCACTAAAATCATTTATACACGATCTTCTCGTCTGAGTATTCTCAAATGTTAGAGAACCTAGAAACCAAAGAAGTTGACAGTTTCAAAAAGACAGTGGCGACTTATATATCTTCCACCACAATGATTAAAAAAAAAAGAACACATCAGTATAATCTATCCTAGAAATACACCAAATGATATACATACTATACCCTAGCTGAGAGCTTATTCAGACTCAAGCACACATCAGGCACGGGACTCCACCAGAGGCAAGCTCCATCCTGGGCTGATATGACCATACAAATTTACATCATGATTTGAGAAAATAATGAAAGGTCATGGCATTTAGAATCCAAAATATCCCACCCAAGGGTTCCAAACAATAATGCTGAACCTCAAAACAGTCAATTGATTCGCTTCTAAGCTCAATTTATCAGTTAACTTGTTCTTTAAACAAGAGCCTACATGCTTGTCTTGCAATCTCCACTGAAAGTACCTTTGAGCCGTCTTAAGCACATAAATCCACATCAGTAAATAAATTAGTGTTAGGTCACAAAGTTGAAGATTAGGTAGCTTCCTGAACAAAATATCTAAGAGAATGAGTCCCTGATTCATGAGATTACACAATCTATTCTCCAATTTATTTACTTCTAGTATATTAGTATGAATCAAGTGCACATGGCAACAAACCTATTGCCTTTGAGAGGTTATTCACAAATTATAAACAAACCACAACACCATAGGATAAAGTTAATTATTATATTAGACTAAATTATTAGCACTCACTTTCAACAATATTTACTTATCTTCATTACGCATCTCATTATCTTTATTTTTTTCGTGCCCAATAAAATAGTGTAGTATGTGTCACGAAAAGTGAACCTACCCGGTCATCATTGAAGAAATCAACAGCTTGGAGAGTGGTTCCCATAACGCATCTATCATAACCTGAAATCGGTCAGATGGAAGCAAACCCAACATTCCCGAAATGGTCCTTTTCATGGCATCTATAGTCGTAGGTTGAACGTCTTTCTGAATAAGGCTCACATCCAAAGGCTCTATCTCATGTATCAAATTTGAGAGAACTGATTTCTGGAAAATATAATATTATGTCGAGGTATTAATATGCATTATCAGTTCCTGGCAGACCTACTACCTCTTTGCCTTCCCTTAAAATCTATATTATTTGCAAAATTCTAATCCCACATCTCTCCCAGTCATTTGCAGCAAATCAAATAAGCTAGCCATTATATATTCTATGTATCTTTCATTCGGCTCCAATAAAGTCGATTAGCCATTGCAACTTCCATTTGAAATTTAATTTCCGACATTTTACTAAGCCAAGATGAGTTAATTTTCTGTTGACAATCAAAGAATTTTCGTTGTGTTCCTTCTCTAGTCTAATTCCCAAGCAAAGTTAGCTATTTTAAGAATTCCCCGAACCAGCAAGATTACAAAATATATATATATATATATAACTACCAAATTTAGTAAACAGAAAATAAAATTCAATCATATAACCTCTCACCTTCGATATATATATATATATATGAAATCAAAACTACCAAATTTAGTAAACAGAAAATAAAATTCAATCATATAACCTCTCACCTTCGACCGTGAATTCCCATAGCCAGCAATAAATTCCCCACCGGTAGAAGAAGCTAAAACTAGGGTTCTTAGATTTGAAGATTTGATAAAACACCTAGTGGGATAATTAACAGTGAAAGGCCCAGCAGGTGAAATCCCGCAATGACATCGTATGGTAGGAAGAGGAAGAGGAGAACATGAGAGAAAGGAAGCGAAGATTGCCATTAACAACCACTACCTTCTCCTTCTTTCTCTTCTCTTCCCCGATGGGCCCTAAACTGTAACTGCCACAGCCCACAGCCACAATATATGTATTATTTATTGCGTGTCCGTGAATTAACAGACAATAGGATTGAGTCAAACAGGTGGACCGGTGGTGGGGTGGGCCCTGGTGCGAGTTCGGGTTCGGGTTATTTTCGGGTCATGGGCCTTGATGCTTGGTATGGCTTAATGGACCATTCCGAGAAGCATGCTACATTTCAAATGCTTCAGACCAATATTTCCAGGCCCATATTATCACCTTTTCTTCCACACCCAGCGCATATTAGAGGTTTCGGGATACAAAAGCGCCCCTCACCCCCTCTTGCCAGCGCTTGTACAGTTGTACGTTGAGCACCGCCTGATTTAGAGTGTTCCAGAGCGCCTTTCACATTTTATTGGCGATGAGGAGAATCCTCGATATCACAAATAACCTCACCCTTTCACTTTCATTTGCGCTCGTTTAATTTCTGCTCTGAGTAAAATAAATAAGGTAAACTTAAAATGCCCTACCTTTCTACCGACTTCTATGCGTGATCTGAGACCGAAGGTACATAGATATATGATTGTCTATACTCACTTATGTTTTGCTTTACTTTGCTGAATAATGTTGTAACAATGGAAATTGACATGTTCGATTTTTGTTCTAAATTTTTATTTTTAGCAACTAATAGCGAAAATTTGCATGAAAAGAAGTGTAATATCATTATTTTTCTGTGTGTGAGAGAATTCCAGGTCAGTGAGGGTGTATTGAAATGGAAATTGTGGTTTTTGTTTGAATATTTGGTGCAGTTGAAGATTTTTGTTTAGTTAGTGATACTGGGGGGAATTTTGTTTCTGGAGTTGGTCTTTTTAGTGTTTGTATGTCTGGTTCGGTGAATATGGATGTACCTGTACAACAAGAGAATTGTGAGACTAAAGGAGCTGCAAGCCCCAAGCTACTTGCCGGTGAAGGGAGAGAAGTGCTTCATTATACTAACTTATTGAGTCAGAATTGTCACGAGGTTGACAATGTACAAAAGGGATTGTCAGAAGTAGGGATTCAAGAATCCAAACAACCTACAGTTGAAGGAAGGGAAGAGCTTCATTTTACTACCGTTGGCTATGACTTATTGGAACAGAAATGTCAGAAGGTTGAAAATGCACAAAAGGGATCGAGAGGCGAAGAGACTCAAGTATCCCAGTATAATGAGCTAGAAAGATTGGAAATTTCTGAAGTTCTGTACCAGAATTCTTGTATTGAACCCCAGACACCGAAGGACTGTGTTGTTACTGAGTTAATAGAGCAGAAAGAGGTGGTGGGAGCTGAGAACATTAAAAATAAAATAGCTTTAACGGAAGAGACCACTACTGGATTTGAAGAAGTGGGACCAACTTCTGGAGACATTACCCAGAATTTCAGCGCAGAGCAAAAAGGACCGCTATTAGAAAATATGACGTTGTCATCTGTCATTGAAAACTTGGAAGTATCTTCTGAAAATAAGGCAATAACTGTTGTTCTTGCTCTTGGCTATTTTGAGACACCATGTGGCCGCACCTCTGTAAATACTCTTCCTGGACAAGCAGGAGCAATGGAGAAAAATCTAAATAAAGATACTAGTCTCTTGAAGGCTGAAGAAGAAGGAACTCCTGTGCAGTTTAGAACGTCGAAGAATTCAGTGAATAATAAGTGGGTTCTGCGTTCAAAATCACAAGAGAAACCTAAAGCTTCTGATCCTAAAGACACTACGGTGCAAGACAATGCTAATGGAGAAAAGAAAAGGAGGGGGAGAAAAAGGAAGGAGATGAATAAAGGTCCAGTGAATGAGTTCTCTAGAACAAGGACCCATCTTAGATATCTAATGCACCGGATAAGATATGAACAGAACCTGATTGACGCATATTCTGCAGAAGGATGGAAAAGACAAAGGTTTGTATGGTCTGCAAAAATCTGTGCATACTTGCTGTAGGATTTCTGTTTTTTATTTTTCAGGCTTATTGACGCTGTTGATAAGTGGTAGATTGAAATAGTATATGTTAATAAATGTGGCCCTCTGCTTATATCTATAACTGTGTCAATTTATTTAAGAAAAATGAGGAAAACGTTAGAAATATGCTAATCTTGTCAAGCAAGAATGGTTGTCGCATAAATATCTTCTACACATTTGAAGGTGGGGAAAATTTCAAAACGCTGGCCTGCACTTCTATTATGGGATGGGATGGTATTCTTTCAACTGCATTTTCACCATGTATATGCTCTGCTGCAATTATTGAACATCTTTTTTCCCTTCAGTTACTAATTTTGAATGTTGTTTCCTTTTCTTTCAATGATGGATATTTCTGGGTGTAGCTTCAAAATGGCTGCCTTATATGAGCCTGCAGTTCAAGTTTACATGCTATCACTATGCATAATTTAATTTCTCATTTCTCATTATTTTCAACTCAATTTGGACAGTTTGAATTTGCCCGAAGAACATTAATGGAGCTTGTTGTAGTCTGCCTCTTAACTAGGGTTAGTGTAGGTTTTGGACAGCACGAGAAAAATAAACATCTTGTCAACATTGTTGCACAAACTCATCCTTTCAAGTAGTCTTGAATGTAACGATGTAATCTGAGCTGAGATAGCATGAATATAAAAGCTAAGCCACCCTAGTTAATGGTAATTAAATCATAATGTTTGTTGATTGATCAATTTATTCTTGCTTTTAACCGATTTTGTATTGTATTTAAGGATTTGACTGATTTATCTTGGATTGTTGTTAATCAGCATGGTTTATTATTATTTTTCTTCTTGCAGCTTGGAAAAATTAAAGCCAGAGAAAGAGCTTCAGCGTGCAAAATCTCATATCTTAGATTACAAATTGAGAATAAGAGAGTTATTTCAAGGCCTTGATCTGTCACTTGCTGTGGGAAAGCTTCCAGCATCTTTGTTTGACTCCGCAGGAGAGATCGACAGTGAAGATGTACAAAATTACCTTATGTTCAGTTGCTCTATTATCTTCTATTCTATATCACATGCATTATATTAGGTGTTTGGATGGCATACCTTCATTCTATGATGCTCAACCTTGGGTACGGGTATGGGTATGTATCTAAATGTCGGATTTTTTATTTTCTAAAATGTAGGATACGGAAATATAGTTAAAAATAATTCAAATTTCGGATACGGGTACGTGGGTACGTCTTTCAAACTTTTGTTTCCTTACCAATCTAAAATCACAAAGAAGGAAATGGATATTAAATAAGGAGTTAAGATGAATACTAGTTTCCAATTATGGAAATTACTAAATGTTATATAAATAGAAAATGATGGATTTGATTGTAATTTGGACTTAGTGGAGCACCAAGTAGCACTATGGAATTCATTTTTATTTTATACAAACAAAACCCTAAACCACCGATATGGTGAGAAGGAAAAAAAAATGAGAAAGTAGAAAGAAAAAAGAAACGAGAAGAAAAAGAAGGGAAAACCTAGCGTCGCTGCCTTCTTCACCCTTTTGGCAGCAACGCTAGGTTTATAGAGAGCAGAAAGGGGAAAGAAGAAAAGGAAAAGAAAAGGAAAAGAAAGAAGAAGAAGAAGAAGCAAAAACGACGAAATGTCTGGTTGAAATTTGGTGAATCCGATATATATTCCATATTCATACCCATGTCTTGCCATGCCCGACACGGGTACCCTGACTATTTTGAAGAGTTCGAGCATTCACCCTTTTGGCAGCAACGCTAGGTTTATAGAGAGCAGAAAGGGGAAAGAAGAAAAGGAAAAGAAAAGGAAAAGAAAGAAGAAGAAGAAGAAGCAAAAACGACGAAATGTCTGGTTGAAATTTGGTGAATCCGATATATATTCCATATTCATACCCATGTCTTGCCATGCCCGACACGGGTACCCTGACTATTTTGAAGAGTTCGAGCATCATAGCGGGCTTCATTAAATTCAGTTTTGCACTCCACGTGTGGCACATGAATTTAGCACATGGAGTTGCACCGATGCCCGGATCCATCAGTTCTGTTGCTTTTGATCGATGTTTTAAAAGGCATTTTAACACCTAGAGTTGGATGGGAAAGAACTTCTTTTTGTTGCTATCTTACGTTGCTTTTCATTTTTCTTTTTCATTTTTATTGTTATTTATTGGAAATTGGTAGCTCTTTTTTGTTATCCTTTTTGCGAAATCAGGATTGTAATATTATTTGGCAATCAATATAATCCTTTTTGTTTTTATATGTCATTTCTCATGTAAATGTCCAAGTGCTATTAGGTGCTTCCAATGTATTCATTTTCTCTTCTACGGCCAATTATATTATCTGTGATACTATGCATTACTAAATCATCAGGTGTTTCCCATTTGTTCAGATTCTTGCTTCTGTTTTGGTGAACTGGACATTCTTTTAAGCTTTATTTCATACTGATTTGCTTGAGTATTTATTCCAGAAACCTTTCAGATGCTGCATGTGGCTTGAATTTTATATTACATAAAAATTTGTGCATAATTAAATAATATGATACGAGTTATAGCTGTTGAAAGAATCTTGGTTGACTGAAAAATGGCAAATTATTAAGCCCCTATTTGATGGCCATTATTTTGAAAAAAATGATGTTTTGAATAGTGATTTTTTGGAGAATTTGTGGTTAAAAAGTAGGAAAATGTTTTCAATTTACATGTAAAATATTTTATTGTGTGAATATGTGGTTGAAAATGAGTATGAGAATTAAATAGTTTTGTTTTAAAGGGAGACAAATAGGGGCCAAATCTGAAACTGGTGAGCCCCATGCATAGGAGGCTCCATGTTCCTTGGACAATATTACTCTTCGCCTTTGCCTTTTAGAACACTGCTTGCAAGATTTGCACACAACACGACTTAGTTTTGTGTGTATAATTCAGAATTGGTTTGGGAATGTTTAAGCATATATCTTTATTGCAGATTTTCTGCTCGAAATGTGGCTCTAAGGATATAACAACTGGCAATGATATTATTCTTTGTGACGGTGCATGTGAACGTGGGTTTCACCAGTTTTGTTTGGAACCACCTCTGCTAAAACAAGACAGTAAATCCATACATGACATACCCTGCTTTTGTTTCTCATGTCCTTAATGTCTTCTTTAATCTCTTGGTATAATATTATTCCCTTTTTGGGCGTATATACAGTTCCTCCAGATGATGAGAGCTGGCTTTGCCCTGGATGTGATTGTAAAGTTGATTGCATTGGTTATCTTAATGATTTCCAAGGAACAAATCTTTCTGTCATTGACAGTTGGGAGGTCTAGTCTTTAACTTTTTGTGGATGGATAGTGGTTAATTGTTGATACGTTGCTGCTCATTATGCCCCACTCTCATTTACAGAAGATCTTTCCTGAGGCTACTGCATCGGTGTCAGGGAAGAAGCTGGATGATGGTTCTGGGTCTTTGTCGGATGATTCTGAGGATGATGATTATGACCCTGATAAGCCAGATACAGTCTTGAAGGTTTCAGGAGATGGATTAAGTAATGACAAATCTGGAGACCAATCAAGTTCTGATGATTCTGATTACTTATTGGCATCTGATGATTTGACGGCTTCTCCTAATACCAAACAGTATTTGGGACTTCCTTCTGATGATTCAGAAGATGATGATTTTGATCCCGCTGCTCCAGTTCAAGATGAGGAGGTGGAGCAGGATAGTTCAAGTTCTGATTTCACATCTGACTCAGAGGATCTTGGTGCTCTTCTTGATGACGCCGCTGCACCTGAAATTTCTCCAGTTTTAGGTGCTGATGAAGAAAAATCTAAAGCAGGTAAAGTGAAGAGTCAATCGCTAAGAGGCGAGCTCTCGTACCTTTTGGAGACCAGTGATGCACCTCTGTCTGGGAAAAGACGCGTAGAACGGTTGGATTATAAAAAATTGAATGACGTGAGTTTCTTTTACATTTTCACACTATATTTTTGTTTGATTTATCCATTGTAACCTTTTATCATGTTAAAGGCGGTTCACCATGCATCTGGATTTGTTATGGCAGTCTTGATTTTTTCTGCGTGACATCTAAAGTTGGAATCTTGTAAAACCAGCCAGTCCACAAGAAAGCACGACTTCCACTAAATCCATCTACATCACTAATTCAAGTTTTGGTCCATTTGACATATTTTGAACGTCTTTGTGATCAAACTAAATCTTAGATTCATCTCATTTGTAATTCATGCTGAACTGAATGCTGTTACAAACACAATCAATAGGTGGAGCAGATTGTCAGCTGTTTATTTTGTGTTTTCTTCACTAGGTCTTTTGTTGGGAGTTGAATGTTTCATGTGTACCAGGCTTAATAGGGAATTAAGAGTCTTCTTAATTTCGATGCATGTACTTGATAGGTGCCACTTTTTTGACCAACTTTGGCCATGATTTCAGTCACTGCAATAGAGATTCTCTCTTTTTTGTAAGTTACATGCTATATGCAATCAATTTGAAGCTGAAGACATTACGAAAGCATATAGTTTGCTAATCACACAAAAATGTTGCAAGGGGTTCTCAAAAATTCAGCGAAGGAGTTGGTTATCATTGAGGATTATGATTGCGAAGGTTCTTTGCATCAGTTACTCTCTCAGCAATCAGTATTAATTTTGGTTTGGATATTCAAAACATTATTTAGCTTAACATGTCTCTCTTCCCTGCGCTTATTTTTGCTTTGTTTCTTGCTGCATTATTCTTTCTTGACGCTGTTTCTCTAGAGCAGTTTGTTACTTCTCTGTCTGCTTATGTTTATGATGTATTTTTTAAAGGAAACAAATGGAAATTCTTCTTCTGAATCAAGCGATGAAGATTTTGAAGATATTCCTTCTCAGAAGAGAAGGAAGATTAACCGTGAAAAGGCAGACGTGGTGTCTCCTGACAAAACTCCGTTAGCAGGAAATGAAATGGATTATTCCAAGGATGAAAACCCGAAAGAGAGTGAGCATGGGTCTGAAAGAGCAAGCGAAAATGTACTTGATAATGATACAATCAATGCACCTGCTGAAACGGGTTCTGTGCGTGCAAATGTTAAAAGATCAGCACCTAAAAGGCTTGGAGAAGCTGTAACACAGGTACTAGTCGTGTATACATTTCCTTAATAGTTTTAAAATCCTATTGGGAATTATGTTCTATGACCATTTCTTTATAGGTGGTTCACAAAATATGACCACTCAATCTGCATGCAAGGATTTTGTTCCCACTGGTGCGTGGGTGCGCGTGTATTACATGTATTCTTTGAAACTATATGGAGTGTGTCCGCAGCATCTTCTATAAGCTGCACTCTCATAATAATTTAGAATACGTTATTATATGTATAACATTATTTTGTTCCTCCATAAGCAATATTATAGCTTTCCAACATTCCTTCTGTTGAATATCTGATGATGGTTGCTGTGTTGGTGTAGAGACTCCTTGAATCTTTCAGACAAAATCAATACCCTGAACGAGCTGTGAAAGAGAATTTGGCAAAGGAATTAGAGCTCACGATCCAGCAGGTGCATACATTTATCTTGCCCTACCGATCCTCTTTTGTAATTTGAAATATCTATATTTCATTGTACGTTTGTTGTACAGGTTACCAAATGGTTTGAGAATACCCGTTGGAGCTTTAACCATAGACCGCAAATGGAATTGAAGAAAACTGAAACGGATTCGAAACAAGGAACTTCCTTGAATCATGACAACAAGAAACGACCTGATCTGGAATCAGAAAGTGTCGCCAAGGATAATTCTTCGAGTGGGGTTGCAAAATTGGTGACAGAGGCTGCCAGTGGATATAAGTCTGGAATGCCAAAATCGAGAAAGAGGGAAAGTAAGACAGATCAATCACCAGATACTCAAATCCAGGAGCAGAATATGTTAGTTGATGCCCCATCTTCAGAGGTTCGTAGAAGTAGTAGACTAAAGACAAGAAACAGTGGATCTGTTGAGTGATGATGTAAAATTTGATGCATTTGGGAGAAGCTTACTGATAATCAATTGTATAACTAATTGAGAAGAAACCAGGGTACTGGACTATAGAGAGCCATTGCTATATATTGATTTGGAGCTGTCTATTTACATTTGGTCCTACCCAACTAAACATGTTTTCTACTGGGGCAGGAAAATCGACATGCAGGACCTCCGTTATTCCACTGGATCTGGCAATCCCTGGAGAACGAGTGAGCTGAAACTTTTATTTGCATTCTGAAATATACAGGTTGAACCATTGGAGCTATTAAGACACCCGTTGAGTTTGATGTTATCTTCAAATTGTCTGTACGTTTATTTGGAAGCTGATGGATGTTAGTTTAGACTTTTAAGTAAAGGACTAATTTGTCCAAATTTGGATACACTTACATTACTGCATTAGTCGAGATTCAGTTGTGTTTTTATATTTGTTAAAATATTTAATGCAATTAGATCCTTCCCTTGTAGATGCGGTTGTTGCAGTAGGGAAACGGCTTGATCCATCTGAATCTTGCACTTGAGAGAAATCTTGGTAAATGATCAATTTTCTTTCCTTCGGTTAAGGGAAATATAGATGGGAAAACGTCTCTTCCTTCAAGTGTAAAATATGGGAAGAATTATAAATGGTTTCCCTACTATATTAAAAGGGGAATGTGAGGGTACTGTAGAAAGCAATAGTGTCTTGATCCATCTTTACTGTAGCATTTTTGTTTTGTATTTTTGTTTTTTTTCAACTGGAGGCCAAAAATGACGTTGTTTGTTTGATATATATTTTATTTTGTTATATACTATCTCCAAATTTACTGCAGCACGCAATTTCCATTCCTCTTCCACTACGATATAGATATATATAGTAGGGATATAAGAAAAAAATTACTTTTTTTATATATATAAAAAAAAAGATAGAGATAATATGCGACAGAAATTTTTTTACAACATATTACTTGTAAGTAAAAAATTTGAAGAGAGAAGAATTAAAAAAGTTTAAATTGAAAAAAAAAATTATAACGTAAAACTACACAGCAAAAAAAAAAAATCTCTCCGTGCACGGAGAGAGAAATTTTTTTTTACTTATGTTTTTGTGTTTATTTTCACGCTCTTTACGAGATATCAAACGAAGTCGAAATATTACATTCTTAATATCGTTTTGAAGTACTCGCGGCATAGTATTGTATGTCGTTAACGGTGCGTGAAACGGTCGATCATAGCAAATGTTATGAGACGTCAAAGTAGGCATTTTCAAACTATATTTCGAAATTTTCGATAACAAGCTAACTTTAAAAATTCATCGACGATTGTACGATAGTCGAATCGATAAATGTTTTACATTCTCTCGAAACTCATTTTGAGAATTATATCGTAGAGACATCGAATGATCTAAATAGATATCAAAAAATAGTTAAATGGACATTAAACGTATGTGTTAAAAAATACGCATAAGTCGTTTTTCTTTAAAAAATCAATTATTTTATTACTATTTCGAAATTTTTGATAACAGGCTAACTTTAAAAGTTCGTCGAGGATTGTACGATAGTCAAATAGATAAATATTTTACATTTTCTCGAAACTCATTTTAAGAACCATATCGTAGAGATATCAGATGATCTAAATAAATATCGAAAATAGTTAAACGGAGATTAAACGTATGTGTTAAAAATGCGTATATGTCGTTTTTTCTTTAAAAAATAATTATTTTATTACTATTTATTCTTTTTTCACAACAATTTTCTCAATGCATCATTTTGCTCAAAAAAATTATGTGGTATGACGAAAAAAAATTTCTCCATGCATGGAGTGAATATGTTTTTTTTCTCATCATTTTATATATTGAATTATTACTAGAAAATTAAATTTTATCTCGAACTATTAAAAAAATACTGATTAATAATAAAAAATTTGAAGAAAAAATTAAAAAGAATTCTAAATTGAAAAAACTATTATTTATAACATAAAACCATACAGAAAAAAATTCTCAAATCTAAGTTTCTATTTGAAATTATTAAGAGAAAATAATTTTAAATTGAAAAAAAATTTATAATGTAAATAACACAAATATTTAAAAAAAATAAAAAATAGTTAAACGGACATTAAACGTATGCGTTAAAAAAATCCGCATAAGTCTTTTTTCTTTAAAAAAAATCAATTATTTTATTACTATTTCAAAATTTTCGATAACAAGCTAACTTTAAAAATTTGTCGACGATTATACGAATCATAAATGTTTTACATTCTCTCGAAACTCATTTTGAGAACTATATCGTATATATATCAAATGATCTAAATAAATATCGAAAATAGTTAAACGGACATTAAATGTATGTGTTAAAAAATGCGTATTAGTCGTTTTTCTTTAAAAAAATCAATTTTTTATTACCATTTATTATTTCTTTGCATCATTTTTCTCAATACATCATTTTGCTCAAAAATAATTATGCGGTAATCGGTATGACGTAATTTTTTTTTTCAATTATTTAAAATATCATTTTTTTTCAAGTGAGGAGCAAAAAAGATGCGTTCCTCCGTGCATAGAGTGCGTGGATATATATATATATATATATATATATATATATTTTATTTTTTTTTTACATTATTAAGAAAAAACTATATCATCGTAGTTGGATATATCTAATAATTTCAGACAATATTTAATTTTATGGTAATATTGAATTTTTTAAATTAAATTTATCTAAATATTACTTTAGATTAAATTTTAACTCAAACTTTTAGTATATTTCTTTACATAGTAAAAAGTTTGCTTCAAGTTGTAAAAAAATTAAAAATTAACCAAATATATATATATATATATATTTTTTTACATTATTAAAAAAAAAACTATATCATCGTAGTTGGATATATCTAATAATTTCAGACAATATTTAATTTTATAGTAATATTGAATTTTTTANTCCAAATAAAACTTAATTTTTCAATTTTAACGAAAAAGTTATTTGTAGGTTAAAAAAATTGAAGAAAAAAGAATTAAAAAAAATTATATATAGTGTGGTCTCCGTGCACGGAGGATTATTCAAATTTTTTTTTTGTACTTTCCGTTCTCCATTTTCATACGCTATGGCCACGCTTTTCAAATCAACTTATCTGCTTATATTATTATATTATATAGATTGTGTAAGAAAGGTAATGTGAATCTATATAACACGCAACTTTCCATACCTCCCGCCTTACTTCGTGCTGACCACTTTTATAAGCAAAAAAAAAAAATCGCTTTTAATAAAAAAAAATTAAAAAATAAACATATTAACATAAAATATTTCTAATATATGTAAAAATTACTTATATAAGTAAAAAAATTCGTTTAAAATTATTTAGAAGTAAAAAATAAAAGAAAGTTATGAAAATTAAATGAAGAATATATAAATATTATTTAATTATTGAAAATTTACTTTATAAATGATTGGTTTTTTTTTGTCAATTTATTTAAATTTCTTTTTAATTCTTTTCTCTTTCAAGTAAAATTTATTTAAAATTCTTTTGTCCTACCAACCTTGAAGTGGCTGTTGTATCGTCCGAAGAATAGGTCTACTGTTAGGGTTCTAATTCTTACACTAACAAGGGAATTGGCCATCCAGTAAGTGTCACTTCAAGTCATTTTACGTGCGAACCTGAGTTTGTTATTTAAATATTTGTGTATGTGGATATTCTCTTTCAATTTACAACTGCATGGGTTATTTTTGAACTACAAGTATAGTCTCTCGAATCGAAGTTGCTAAAGAAAAACATTTTGTAAAATTCAATTTACAACTTATTTACAATATCAGATAAAAAAAATATCTTCATCTATATTAAACAAAAAAATACAATAAATAATTAAAAATAAATTATCGTTGACATATATACAATCACAACATTCATTATACTTATTTATAAGAATAAAAATAAAATATACAGTCGACCAAAAGATGAGAATCAAACAAACATTTCTTATTTCCAAATACTTTTTGTACAATCTATATATTTTACGCTAATAAAACCAAAATAAATACAAAATTCGTGCAATGCACGAGACGCAGACTAGTAATTTATAAATAGATGGAAATGCGTGGTGCGAATTTATTGAAATATGTAATTGAAAATGAAGTTTGATTATTTATAACAAACTTATAGGTTAGGTTTACTTATGTTCAAATTATTTATTTTTTAGTTTTAGAAATGAAATGTATTTTAGCCAACTGTACAAAAAAGTTGACAATTGATAACTCATAGAGAGTATACTTTATTGTCTCTACTCGCTGGCAATTATATTATGCAAGGGGGAAATTATTTGGAGGATGTTGCTACATGTATATTAAGTTTTATACAGAGGATTATATAATACATACATGACATTTTACTAGTTGTCGGTTTAAAACATGGTCAGCTTTTCGTTCAATCTTCTGTCTCCATATTATTTTTGATAACCGTTTATGTGCAAGTAGAAAAATCCATATTTTTATTCTAAGTCATTGAATAATGATCAAAGTTATTTCTTCTTTTTTCTCTTCTTGTCAGTTGGATTTTGGATTTAATCTCATTTCCATTTTTTTTAAAATCTAAATTTGACAAATTTAATTGAAATATAATTATTTTTATAGAAAGAGGGAAAGAAACAAGCTTTCTTTAAGCTAAAAGTATTATTATTGTAAAGAACAAACATAATTTCAAATCTATTTTTTAAAAATTATTTCAAAATCATTTATAACTACATGGGATATATACTTTTTCGTACTTTTTAAATACATATATTTGAAAAAAAATTCATTTTTTCACTTGAAAAAATCAATCCTACAAATAAACGCAAAATGAGAAATAAATGTTTATAGTTGAGGTTTTGAAAAATTTAAAAATTTGTAAAAGCAGATGGCGAGGCGTATTGGTCTACCATTATCATTCCTGCTTGGTTGGGGATTTTTGGGATCTGTAGCGCGGAAGAATCGGATTAAAAAAATTTCATTTGTCATCCCATTTTATTAGTTAATTATTTAGGCCCCATAACTACAACGATATAGGAATGAGAATGAAAATAATAGTCGTTATGAGTCCCACATAAGAAATATATTTTCAAATATGGTGATTTGATGTAATGAATAACGATCATGTTTTTCATTTTAATGAGTAAATAATGAAAAACAAATAAGGGTTTAATATTATTTTTTAAAACTATTTACATTGAAAAACATAAAAACATTTTTGAAACGATTTCAAGGATTTCGAGAAGAGGTTTCTTGGAAAAATTTGCCATCCCTAGCTTGCCCTTATTTTGGTTATATAAAAATCAAATTTTTAGTATATTTTAATTAAGATCGATGGAATATGTGGTTAAGTTAAATATGTGTTTGAACCACATTATTTTGGTAATAATGCATTCTTGAATATTGTATTGATGGAAAATGTGTGGTTAAAAAATAATGAAATTTTTTTGATTTGTTTGTAATATTATTTTATTGAAAAATATGTGATTGAAATGATATTA